ATATATATATATATATTATATATATATATATATATATATATATATATATATATATGAAATATAGTTTTTTATTTTTAATAAAAAGGTCTTTAATATTCTTAATGTCAAAGAACACACATGGAGTGTATTTAGTAGAGTGACTAAAAATTATTGATTTTCTGCCTTTATTTATTTATCTTTTTTACTTACAACTTATGTGAAAATCTTGGCCGTGATCTTTTTCTGAGACTTGTGACTTTGCGGTAAAATGTTCTAACTCACTTTCTCGATGGCTAACTCACAGATGATGTATTAACTCTTGGGATCTTCTTGCTTAGAAGTAAACATTAGCTTTTTAATGTCTTAATGAAAGAAATCTAAGTCCAGATTTCTCTCATCCCCAGAGGCCATATGCAGCTGGTTAGTTATCTTTTGTACACAGTCAACCAGCTTTCAGGGAAATCTAAGAGGCCACATGCCCTTTGAGAAATCAGTGTTTGGTAGTTTGTTTTAGTGTTGAAACAGTGGTACTTGGATGGCATTTTCCAAATGTGGTCATGCCTCAGGGTCCTACAACTGATCCACTGCAGGAATAAAGTGTATCCTTTTCTCACAGAAGGAAATAGCTATTTTGCAAAGGGATTAAAATCATGGTGAGTGGGCCAAAAACATCCTTTGCAAAAAAGATACACCGTTTGGATCATTTCAGTGGTATACATATGTCAAATTGCAGGGAAAGATTTTTATTTTCGAAAGACAGGAAGTTCACTGGTAGAAATGGCATGCTGGTAAGTAAGAATAATTTTTAGTATATTTTTTCACATTTTTGGTTTTTAGGTAGATGAACTAAGTCAGTAGTTGAGTATAATGGTTTAGAAGGATGCTTTTGAACTTTAACATTCTAATAATCTCATTCTATCTAAATGTTATAAATTATACTGAAACTTAAGCTTTGATTTTCTTAAATGTAGACATTACTGCCTGAGGTGGGAAACCCATACTCTCAAACACTCAGAATGATAATGGGTATTATCCAACAAAAGAGGCCATATTCAATGAAGGTAAGAATGAGATTTTATTTTTTCTTTCAAGTTTTTTTTTCTAATTTCATTGCAAACTTTTAAAATGCATGTCCTATATTTTTCTAACATGATCTTTGGTAGAAAACTCACATGAACCTCTACATGTATCGACTTACTTACTAATCACAAACATAATAACCAGCTATCACCATAGTTATCTTACTAAGTATTAACTTAGTAGCAATTGATAGTAGCAGGCTTTGAAATGACTTTTCCTTCAGTGTTTAAAGTTAATTATAGAAGTATCAGATCATCTGTTACATTTGATTTTTACGGCTTTTGATTATTTCTGAAAAGTTTTGTTATCCTAGTCATTCTAAACCTTCTAAGCCTATTTCAAGTTTGAGTAAAAGAATTTAAAATGTCTGTAACTTAGGAAAATTATGCCTTGTTGCTAAGCCCCAAGTACTCACCTCTGACTTCCATCTCGAGCTCAATATTCGGATTTCCTGGACTTTGGAATGTGCAGGGGACAGTGGTCTTTTCTGTGCTACTTTCTGCAAAGGAATAGGACACTCACCTGGAGGCAGGCCTCTACAAGAGCCAGGGTATTACAGGACCTTTTTCCCCCTGAAACATAATATGATGTCAGTCTATATCAGCATTCTTTACTGTGAAAATACTCATGCATGCAAATACCAACTTTAGTAGAGCTTAGGAAAATTGAATAAAGAGCTTTATAATCTCTAGGACATCTGAGTGAACATGAAACCTTTCCAGACCTGTTTTATACCACTACTTGGATTCAGTTTTAGGGCAAGACCTAGAGATGGCAGAGAAGGCTCAGACATGCTCCTCACACAACACTCTCTGAACACCCTGGAGACATGTAATGAACTCTTAAGAGTCTCATGAAACACAAAGTGAAGGCCACTGGTATTCAGAATGCACAGCCAGGGTGACAAAACTCTGTCCCAGCTGCAGCAACTGCATCTCCATTTACAGAGAAGGCCACACTAAACATGGAGTTCATCCTTTGCTCAGTAGCCCCTCCTTCCAGGAAAAAAACAAAACAACCTTCCTCTCCTCTGCTTTCTGCTGCCTGCTCCCATAACCCCGTAACAAGGGCATGTCAGCTTTGGTTATTAAAACATGTAAGCTCCAAGTATGTATGATATGTAAATAAAATATAAGCAGTTGTATAATAAAAGAATTTCAAGTTGATTGACATGTTCAGGGTATCAGCTGTATAAAGAATATGAAAATCTATTCTCCCGCCCCCCTCCACTCAGCATACGGTACAGGATTACCTCTACCACCATCTCTACCATCCCCGCCTCCCTCCACTGTGGATAACAGGAACTTTCCCATCATCCTCCAAGGCCTCCCCATCCCCTTCTCCCACCTCCCTGTCAGTGCCTGCCTCCCTCCACTGTGGATAACAGGAACTTTCCCATCATCCTCCAAGGCCTAACACAGTAGATAGTCTGTTAGTTTGGGGAAATTGAAGCATAAAAATTGAGGCACATTCGGAAAATGGTTATAACCGTGGTTGTAACCTTGTTTTTTCTAGCTCACGATAATAAAGCAGCGAGAACAGCCAGAAATGGTTTTCCGACAGCTCCTGGTCGAAGACAAAGGACTTTATGGAGGCTCATCTCATGTGGATTTCCTTTATTATATTCACAAGGAGATCTGTCAGCTGCTTAACTAACTGAACCTTCTGGACTGTTGAATCTGCATTTCTAAGGAGATAATCTCCTTCTTGGTGCCTAATTCTCCAGATGCTAATAGGCTACTTTTAATTTCTTGCTCATTTTCAGAATATCTTTCCAAGATGGCATTTAGGACTTCCATCTTTGGTGCTCAGGTATAAAGCCAGTGAAGGTACACTTGTACCTAAAAGGGAACAGTCTATTTCTGATTGCACAATTTTTACCTGTTAAAATTGATACACTTTGCATTTCATGGAAGGCATAGTTTACAGAACTTGTAAACATTCTCAATTTTCTTTGTGTTTGACATATAAATTATTTTTCAAAATGTATACATTTGGGGTAAACGTTTTGGTTCTTCTCCCATTTGCAGTGAGGGAAAAAAAACCTTAATTTTTACATTGTATTTTTTTTTAAAACCATGTAACCCCACTGAACATGTTTTTCAACTTAAGGTTTGCATAATAGCAGACTTTTAAATAACCTTGGAATCTATTTGGTAGAACAATTTGTGTTCTACATTTTTTTCATAATTATATGTTGTGTATATTAAACCTATTTTCCAGTTCTGTCTATAAAAACTGTCTATCAATATTCTTAATGGTTCTCTGTACAATTCTGAAGGTTTCTACCTGTATATAATGGAACTTAACCAGTATCAATAAATCACTTCATATGCTCTTAGCCACTAGAATTCATTTTTTAAGGTATTTTGAGATTTTAAAAAGAAATAAGGGTAGTACTTAGAGTGTCTTAGAAAAAGCTGAAAACTTTTTTTTTTTTGAGAGTTGGGGATAATAAATAAATCTAAAATATCAGAGACCATATACTCAAAAAAGGCAATTTAAAAGTTCTCCAGTATGTTCTTGTGAGCAAAAACAGGCTACATGAGACTATTAATGAATATACATAAACCTAGGAGAGTAGTTTTAAGTGGTGTGACAAGTTATCTGTTCTTATTGCTCTGTTCAACTTTGATATCAATGATGTGAATAAATAAAAGCTAAAGTACACTGAATACATATAATGTCCCAAGAACTGCATACCTATTTTGTGAACATTTCCACATTTAGTCTTGACAGCAACCCTAATCTTATTATCAGCCTCATTCACACATGAAGAAATAGGCTTGAAGTAGCTAACTACTTTGTCTATGATTATATGGCTAATAAGGTGTATTTTAAAATTTGAATATAACATGAAATTGAGTAGAATAACAAATATACTGACAGAATTAAAATCTTCCCACAAGTTAGCCATCTGGCATGATGTTTCAGATTCATCGATTTGGATGAGTTTAACAAGAAATGTAGGATCCTGAACTTGTGTCCAAAAAACAAATGCACATGCAGATGCTTCTTGGAAACAACAGGCATTTAAAAAAGAACTTAGGGGATTAGTCAGTATGAACCTATAGTGGGATGAAAGCGTATATGGTCTCAACTACTTTTTACAAGGATAGCCTGTCAAATGTGTCTGGCGATGGCCCCACTCTGAGGTGAGACCACACCTAGAGCAGTTCTAGGCACCAGGCTCTATGTGAGACAGAAGTCCAGAACACACTCCTAATTCACTTGAAGACAATCTAATGAATCAGCTCAGCCAAGATGGCAGAGTAGAAAGACCTTGAGCTCATCTCCTCTTACAGGCACACCAGAGTCACAGCTATTTGCAGAGCAACCATCAATGAAAAAGACTGAAACTTCTAGAACTAAAGATATAAAGAAGGAACCACAAGTCAGGTAAGAGGGGTAGACTGGAGATATAGTCAAGCCCCACACCCCAAGATGGAAGAATAATTACAATTGCAAAGGTTCTTCCACAGCAGTGAGAGGTCTGAGCCCCACACTGGGCTCCTGCACTGGGAAGATGAGCCCCCCAAGAGCATCTGGCTGTGAAGGCCAGTGGGACTTAGCTTTGAGAGTCTCAGCGGGGAGGGGAGAACCTACCTGCTGATCCTGGAGAGTCTCCCTGAGAGACAGGAGGTAACTGCAGCTCACCCTGGGGACGCAGACATTAGTGGCAGTCATTTTTAGAAACTTGCTCTACCACATAGACTGGTGCTGGCAAGCAGCACTTTGGAACCTTCCCTGTAGCTTATTAGCCCCAGGACCCAGCCCTGCCCTGGCACCCAACAGCCTGTAGGCACCAGTGTTGGGACACCTCAGACCAAGCAACTAACTGGGTGGGAACACGGCCCCACCTACCAGCAGACAGGCTCCTTTAAGAGTCCCTAGACATTGCCCTGCCCACCAGAGAGTCTAGGACCTGGTGCCACACACCAGGCACAGGCACTAGACCCGGGATTCCCAGAGCCCTTTAGCCAGAGACTCAGGGACCCAGCTCCACCCACCAATGGACAGGCACCAGTCCCAGAATCCCCTGGGCCCTGGCCCCGGCCCCGGCCTCCAGGGAGACCGCTCTAGCCCAGAAATAAACCCATGAACTTATGGTTAGTTAATCCATGACAAAGGAGGGAAGACTATACAATGGAGAAAAGGTAGTTTCTTCAATAAGTAGTGCTGGGAAAACTGGACAGCTACATGTAAAAGAGTGAAATTACAACATTCTCTAGCACCATATACAAAAATAAACTCAAAATGGATTAAAGACCTAAATGTAAGACCTAAAACCATAAAACCTAGAAGGCAACATAGGCAGAACACTCTTTAACACAAATCACAGCAATATTTTTTAAGATCTGTCTCTTAAAGCAAAAGAAACAAAAGCAAAAACAAGAGGGACCTAATTAAACTTAAAAGTTTTCACACAGCAAAGGAAGCCATCAACAAAATGAAAAAACAACCTGCTGAATGAGAGAAAATATTTGCAAATGATATGACAGATAAGGGGCTAGTATCTAAAATATATAAACATCTGATACAACATCAAAAGAATAAACAACACAATTAAAAAATGGGTAGAAGACCTGAACATTTTTCCAAAGAAGACATACAGATGGCCAACAGACACATGAAAAGATGCTCAGTATTGCTTATCATCATAGAAATGGAAATTGAAACCACAATAAGACATCATCTCATACCCACCAGAATGGCTCTCCATCAAAAAGACCACAAATAACAAATACTGGAGAGGATGTGGAGAAAAGGGAACCCTTGTACACTGTTGGTGGGACTGTAAATTGGTAAAGCCACTGTGGAAAACAGTATGGAGGGTCCTCAAAAAATTAAATAGAACTACCATATGACCCAACAATTCCACTCCTGGGTATATATCTGGGGGAAAAAAATTACACTAATTCAAAAAGATACACACATCCCAAAGTCCACAGCAGCATTGTTTACAATTGCCAAGATATGGAAACAAGTGTCCATCAACAAATAAAGAAAAAATACATGGTGTATATATACAATGGACTACTCAGCCATAAAAAAGAATGAAATTTTGTCATTTGCAACAACATGGATGAACCTGGAGGATTATGCTAAGTGAAATAAGTCAGAGAAAGCCAAATACTGTATGATATCACTTATATGTAGAAATCTAAAAAAATAAAACCACCACATGGATTTCTATACTAGCTCCACCACTAGCTGTGTGATACAGAAAGCTTTCGGTGCTTCAGTTTCCTACTCATTTGTTCCAAGGATTAAGTTAATAAGTGTAAAATGCTAGAACAGTCCCTGGCACACAGTGCCATCCAGTTATCACGGTTCATTGTTGTTACTATTTTATTAGGGTTTTAAATTAAACTTGCTAAGGATCATGAAAACTAGGACTAACCTGACTCCTATATGCCATGAGTATCTTAACTGATAATCTCAAAACCAAGCATCTTTAAATGCTATAGAAGCATCTAGTTAAAAGATAGTTTCAGCAATTAAAATAAACTCATCAATATGAGAAAACTGTAACTCAAGCTGTTTTAAGTGTTAAATCAAAACTTCAGTAATATATAAACCAAAGGAAAGAATCTGACTTTTGATTGTTGGAGAACCGTTATGAAAAAATAAGAGTTCACTCATTCAAGAAGTTACATGTTTGAGGGTGTTATTAAATGGTACTAACTTTACTTCCTAGAAATGGAACCTAATGACAGTAGACTGAGAATAATTAGGAATAGTGTATCAGTTTTTTTTTTCAAATGTTGTCAGATGGAAACATGTTTCTCTATTAATAAAACGACAGAGTAAAGATCAAAATTCAGATCATGGTCAAAGATAATCTGAAATTGAACTTCACCTCCACTAGGAGGCATTATAGACCATTGTCTGAAACCTCCCAGAAAGGTTAGTCAGTAGTCTTCCAGAGAAGACGATTCTTTGGGGAGAATTAACTACGTAAATTATAGCTGCTGAAAACACAAGATGTAATACTGAATAATCTGGATAAAAAGGAAAAAAAAATCTTAGTTGAAAGAGGCAACAGAACCCCCTAGTCATCCTCTCCAGTGGGTGTCTCCTGGCCTCTGCTTAGGAACTAGTAGAAAGGAAAAGAAGTAAAAAGAGAAGGGTATTAAAAATCCTCCAGGAATTAGTTCCAATTACTAGTCAAGCAAAGAGTAAGGGACCATTTATTTATTGAGCACTTACTATGTGCCATACATTAGAAGCTGAGACAGCACACTGCTTCCTTTATAAAGTTAATGACAAAGACTAATTTCTAAGAGCATGACCAGCAGGTTATAAGCTCAGAACTAAAAGTAGGCAAAAGCCAAGTATCAAAGGGAATGGCAATCTTTCACCTGAAAGCAATAAGACAACTGGGACTGTTCCCCAAAGAGGTCCTGATGCCATTCTGATCCAATATCCCATCAGCATCATCTCAAGGAGGTGGTGGGATTTAAAATTCAGGGAGTCAGTTAACTGACAAGCTTACATTTGTGATTATATTTTCTTATATTCTGCTTTGGAAGTTTTTTTTTTTTTACACTACTCTTAATCATGCTTATATGCTTTAAAATTTTTATTTCAGTAACACAGCAGTACAAAAGAGAGCTATAGTCTTGAACTCCTATTTACCATGCATATAAGCCTTGCTTTTTGGACAAGGCCAAATAATCCCTCCACCTGTGCAGCTTATCTGAATCATGGGCAACATCATTACATTAAAAATCTCTCCTTTACAGCATATGAAAGTATGTACCTACCCAGAAATCGTTTTGAAAAGCATAAACCTATAAAATGACAGCAAATTCCATAAGACATTTACCTTCCTTGGTAATTTAACCAACATAAACTACTAAACTGGGTATCTCTAAACAACATTGTGTTTGACTTTTTGTCCTCTGCTTTAAAAAGACAAAAAAAGAAAGCAAAAAAGGCAGAATAGTGATATAGTTATTCACTTATGACATTAACAACACTAATTGCAAACTAAAAACGTGTGCAGGTGTGGGATTCTATAAAAGGCTTGTTATGTGACAATATAGACCTAGACCCCTACATTTTCTCCACTGGACAGATGAGTAGACTGCAGTCACATCACTGTATGCAACTTTAAATTATTAGTCTATGTCTGCAATCTTATTTGTGTGTTCCAAAGTATATCAACTATATAACATGTTCTCAAAGGTGGAAGTTTCCTGCCCCAATCAAGTAAATTTTTTTCTTAAGTAAATTTGGTCACATAGTATTTAGAAGCCAGAATTTAAAATATGCATGCAATGGCTAGCCAAATTAATTTTTAAAAATTTTAATTCCATGAAAGGAAAATATAAGCAAAGAACGCAAATTATTTTAACTGCCAACATCTAAGACAGATTTCACATGAACACTTTAGACTTACCATTTTCCCTCTGTGATGACAGTTAGTTGGAGCTAAGCAGTGATGTCCACCTTACCAAGGGCATGAGCTCTGTCCCCAACCTCTTTTAGGTCTCCACGGTCCTGAGATCAAGTCAGTGGCTATTTACTAAGGTGCTCTGTGCTGCTCCACTTTTCTTAGAGAGAAGCTGAGAAAACTCACCAATGCACGAAAACAGCACAGATAAGATAAATGGGAGAAAGTAAATGTGAAAGTAAATACTCCCGTATTTAATATGTAACTAAAGTGTGTCTAAAAGCATTAGGCCACTAGAAAACAAACTTACGGCTTGCTTCACTGATTTATATTATAAGCTTAGTTTCTATATGCATTTTACATTGACTTCAATTTTTTAGAAGTATTTTTTTTTAAAAACCTACCTTATCTGATTTCACAGGTACATGAGCACCTCTGGTTACAGAAGCATGAACTGTAACAAATACTCAAATTGATCACTTCAACATTTTGTCCAATTCTAGAAAAGGAGTTTACTTCAAAAGAACATCTAGATTAAATGAGGTATTTTCTTTGCATGTTGTAGCTAGTAATGTTTATATCTGAGTAAATGATTGGGGGCCTTGAGAGTAGAAGCAAAGTGGCTTTTCCAGAAATGCAGTCTTCAATGGGCTCAATTTTCTGGATAATTGTTCTAACCTTCTGCAAAGTCCTAGATTTATAGCTTCAAAACTGATAGCATATACTTGGGACACAAGCTGGATAGTTCAGTCCCTGTCACCAACATCAAAGATAGGATAATACTAAAAATCCCACATGGACCCCAAGATTACATGACTGTTCTAAGAAAGGCCTTTCTTATAAGCAAAGGCTTATGTTTTTAATAGCTCACTGAAATGTGGGACACTTTCAGGTCAGAGACTACTATTTAGAATGAATCCTAACTAGGCAATCATTTAAATCAGCAAAATCTCGAACTATACTTTAAAGACCAAATCTTATCTTCTTAAATTCAGGATGAAAATAATATGAATTTTAAAATTAGCTGCTGTAACTAATCAGAACATTGTTACTTTAGCGATTAAGATGGGTACAAAGTATTTTTAAAAATACAAAAGGGAATCATTCCTAGTAACAGCTATGACACAAGACTCTCATCTATTGGCAGCACACTAACTCCCAGGCATCCTACCATTAGGACTGTCAATTTAAAATGAAACTATGGCCTAACATTCAGTTTTCAGATAAGAGAGAGATGTGTTTAAGTTTCCACATTTATGAGCTAAGGACTCATTGGTGGCTCTTCTACTTACCAAAGTATCGGCGGGATACTGCTGATGTAGTTCTTATCCAACTCTGGACATAGGATCTGGCTGCCATGCCAGACTGCACACTCAATCTGCCCCCTTCCCAGCTTGACACCTCTCATGCTGTCTTGTCTCATGGTGACCATTCCATAGTTTGACTGATGTCCCACAATTCCCTGGAACTAATCTGGTTTAGCAGTGTTTGGGTATGGTATCCCCACCACAAAATCCATTCCAGCTGACTTCATCAACCTCTTCCCCTTTTCTATTCTATACAATGAAGACAGTCAAAAAGAACTGTAATACTTTGGGCCTTCTCATCTCCATCCTCTGAAAGGACAGTGGTTAACAGAGATAACTGCTGTCAATGAAAATAAACATCAACATTTGGCTTAGAATACCTGGAACTGTAATTATGTATAATATTAGGTATGCAGATCTTAAAATTTTTAAACTGAAAAAGTATAGGGTTATTACAGAGTTATTAGCTTCTATCTCCAATAAGAAATCAGTAAGTAAAGCAACTACAACTTATTTTTGGTGATCCCCAGATAACTTTGTGAAAATTAAGACGTACATATATAGATGATTAAAACTCAGAAAAGGTCAGAGTAATGAGTTTTCACTGGAAACGGTTCCTCAATGAATAAAGAAGCTATTGTAAAATTGATACCCAACACTTACTGAAAGTGAAGGGTAGCAAAACTAGTGAGTCAATTCCATCCTGTTATAAAAATGGCCATTACACTGCTGAAGGAAAATTCTAGGCTTGCATTTTTCCCTATCACCTACTCTTTTCTTATTTGCTCTGTACTGAATATGGTGGGCTGTGGCTCCCTTTAACTTTCAATCTACAAAAAGCCATTCCTAACTCTCTATAAGATGATACCATGATACAGATCTCACAGATGACTAGGCCAGGTAAGCACTAGAAATGCAGCCATCCCTTGGCTAGCCCCAGGACATGGACCAGACCAGAAAGTCCTGTTTATAGGACAGAGTCATTAACTAGCTGATATTTCTAAGGACCCACAGTGGGCAATTTGAACATCTTTGTCTTCATCATTGCCAGGTCCACTTTGGCAAGTACAGTTCTATCTCCAGATAACTTTTAATTACTGAAGTTGAAAATATACCCTCATTTCAGTAAAAACTCTAACCAATTATTCTATATCCTGTCTACATCAAGAAAGACATCAGTCACATGCTATCTATACCAGAAACCACTAACAGGATGAGCAAGTTAATTCCTCAGGCTTTTAAGGATTTCAATCCTATTTCTATAATTTAGCCCTTATCTTCACACTGAGTCTTTAATGGATATAATAACCTCATTTTATAAGCCAGTGAAAATCAAAGAATGGCTACTCACAGACCAAAGGAATAGTCTGATCTCAGGTCAGTCCTTCTTCATGTGGTAACAACGGCAATTCCACTCACAGAAAACAGACTCCCAAATGTCAAAGGTTTAGTTTCATTAGAAAAATCATACACAAAATAAAAAATGTATTTATCAAGAATAATGGTATTATTTCATTCAGCAAATTCATTTAAAACATGAGTTACAATATAGAAAAATGACAGCATAAAGTCTTACACAACCAACTGATCTGAAAAACCAGTCCCTTAAAATGCAACTGCAGTTTCACTTCCCAAGCAGTCTTCTTAAGTTGAGGGTTTTTTGTGCCTGATTTTACATTAACTTTTCTCCATAATAAGTTTAAAGCTGAATGTCGTTTCCTCACCAAGTACTTTATTCCCCAAAATGTTTAAACCAAGTACCTGGTAACCAGGTGTCTCTGTTGTCTTTGATTATTTTATTTTGCTAAGGAATATGAAACTGCTATGAAAGTCAAGCCAAGGTCAAGTACACACCAAAGTTCTACCACTTGGGTATCTGCCCTCATTTGCTTCTTAGAAGTATGATTAAGAGTCATCCATACTTGCACAGCTGAGATTATGAGGAGCATTTTTTTCTCTTTTTTTAAGTCTGCCTACTAGGTTCTCTCTCTTCCTCTGTCCACCCCTGGGAGCTCCACCTCCCCGATCCAATTTAGATTTGGAAGGAGGTGATATCGTTCCAAGTCTCTCAATTTCTTCTGTAGTCAAATTACACGACTTCAAGAATTTTGAAAAAGAAAGAAAAAAGAAGTCTCTTTTTATTGCTTCATTAAGAAAACATTAAAACCCTAACAGAAATTTACCATCTGTTCCAACTCCATTTCTTCAAGGCTCCCAAACAGCTTCCCGCTTGCTGTGACAGCAGTGGCAGGATGCCCATTACCAACTACTGTCAGCACTAGCATGATACTCCAGATTGGGTCTTTTTTCACTGTTCACTTTCTTTCTAAAAAGCAAAAGCCTTTGTAATTAGATGAGCTCTATCAGAATAAATTCAGTCTCTGAAAGTGAAGGTATTCATGTTGTTCCATTCTGTTCAATTACATGCACATGACAAAAGACAGGATGACTCGTTTATCCTGGACAAAATTAGACAGTCACAACTTCAAAGGAGGTTGGCTAAAATATTCCTGCGGCTTAGAGAAACTAAAGCAAAGTGCAAGCTGAAATGGAGTTCTAAATGATGTCTCCCAGTTGAAATGCAAACTATAAAAAGAAGGTAAAGGGGCATTAATAGGATCAGTGTCCTAAAAAACTATCGAGGTGGAAAGCCACCTCTGTGTGCTCCTCCACGGCCCCCCCTGAAGCCACCTCTTTCTCCTCGGAAGTTGGATCGATTTCTTTCTCTCCCACGGCCAGCAGAAGTTCCACCTCTTCCTCCTCCTCTGGGAGCTCCACCTCCTCGATCAGATTTAGATTTGGGAGGAGGTGACTTTGGTCGAAGTCTCTCAATTTCTTCTGTACACCCAGTCAAGTAGGAATTCGGGGCACTGAAGTAGGATGCGTATGTTTCTGCATTGTAGTTGCTATTTGTAAGAGTTGGTCCCACTGTAAGCCAGCCTGAAATGGAGTGGAAAAAAAAGGTTACTTTTTTTTTTCCAATTCTCTTATTCATCCATTAGGAGCTACTTCAAATTTCCAATGCATTCTTAAAGATGTTCCTATCACTCACCCAACACTGATCTTTTTTTTTTCCCAAAGAATGCATGGCATTTAATCACAGTCATAAAGATTTCATATGTATACATTTTGTTTCTCCTCCTAGACCGTAACTTTTGTACCATAACCCTCCTCACTGTCTCTGTCCATGTTTCACATTCTGTGAGAACAGTACTTAGGAAAAAAAAACATACACTACAGTAAGTTTGGGCTTAGTGAAAATTTAATAAATTTTATATCACCTTTCTACTTGTAGAAATGGTAACATAGTTTTCTGATTAAAATCCTGAAATTAACTGTTGCCTCTACTCTTCCCAACAACACTAACCCAGCTAACAGATCTTAGAAATTCAACCACAACCATGTTGCTCCTATTCATTCCTATCTGTCCATTTCTACTGCCGCCCTTAAATTTAGGTCTTCATTTTTCTACTTCACTAGTCCCCTACACATTTAACAGACATAAAAATACACTGTATTGCTCTCCCAACATCTCCTCCTTCCAAAAAAGGAAAGCCTAAAGCAAAGCTTAGTTCATAAATATGGAATCTAAGCTCTTTTATGAGGCTTGAGCTAGCTTTCCAATCACACTGCTCATTAATGCTTTTCATAACACTTTCACTTGAGTAAAATCAATGAATCACTTCAGTAACTGTTCCCATACTCATCTCTGCCTCTGTGCCTATTTTTTTTCCTATCCTGTCAACCTGTTAAAAAGTCCATCCTTCAACATCCACTTCAAATATACATCTTACGTAAAACGAAAATACTTTCTCTCTCAGGATTTCCAATACACATTGTATTTCTTTTGGTAAAAAGGTATTTCTGTCAACTACTTGCTAGACAATTTTGATTATATAGGAATGACTTCTGTCTGATTTAACTGTATCTGGAATGGGAGGAAATACAAATTAACCGTAATGCCTGATAGAGACATCATGCTTGGTGTTCCCTGAGTGTGGCGATTCTTGCTCACTGGAGCAGGAGGAGTAATACCTAAGAACTAGGTTTTTCATTTGAAAAATTAGGTTCACAATATTTCTACCCTATCATCATCAAGGTTATTTCTTAGACTATTAAGTCCATTATAAAATCCTATAAAATGTAAAATATTTTACTAAGATCACATTGTAGAATGTAGTAGCCATTTTTGTACAAAATTTTGCTCATTTAAAAAAGTCTTCAGTATCTAACAGTGCATAGATAAAAGATTTATAATATCTGAAGAAAAAAAAAACAGGTAAATCATACTGTATCTTTTATGTCTCATCTAGCAGATAACCTGCTAGGCAGAGAAGCACCTAATCAGTTGAAAGAGCACACTGCACACCTATGTGGTCTCACTGACAATTGAATCTTTGAGATTTTTACTTGCTCCCTTCTGATTTGTTTGGCATGTATGTGGTATGACACAACACACAAGCAAGGAATAAGAAAAAAAACTTAAAGATTTAATAAAAATAGTTAATACTGTTTCTTTCATGCTATATTGCCTCTTACATAAATACGACATGCACATCTTCATAGAATGAACTGTAAGGAACTCTGCCTCCCACCCACACGTTCTTTATTCCTAGTGTTTTATTACACTTTCTAAAGGCATTACTAAGAACCAAGTAAGTTTAAATTAGCCTAGCTTCAGCATATTTGACACACATAGCAATTTTTAAACCTTTCAAAGCAACAATATATAGTATTCCTATGGTATGTGTGATATCCCTTAGACTATCTCCTTAAGGAAGAAGTGTATTTGAGATTCAAACCAAATAAGTTAAGGCCTTTAGCAGACTTCTCTCAATTGCTCCTATTATTTATGTGGTTAATCTCCAACTACTTAATAATCTCCCCAAGCAGATATTCTTTCTTAGTTCTGTTTCACTATAGCTAATATTAGAATAATTTTTCTAAGAATAGGCAAAGATAAAGAATCAGATGGTAGTTTACAAGCAAAAAATAAAATCTGCACCTCCAAGACTTTGTTCAACTGGCATAGATACAGACAGAAGGATATCCTACATGAAAGAGATAATGTATAATCTGAAGTGGGTTAAGTGGCCACGGCTAAATGGATGGAGAAAACCCCCACTATATTTACAGTTATAGACTATTCGAGTTACAAATACAAATTGGCATCAAGAAAAATCTCTATTTTAGTTGCTGCTTATGCTTACACCTATACTTAACAATGATCTATTCTCTCTACTCAGGTTCTTCTACTCAAGCCTCTATAACAAAAAAAACTTTTGATTAAAATTATGCTATAAAGCCATTAAAATGATTACAACTAATTATTTTAAATGTAGAAATATATTTAACATAATATTGAGAAAAATACAAAATGACAACTACAGTTATGTAAAAATTTGTACACACAGGACTGGAAAGTATTATGTAAAAAAAAAGAAAATAATTCTTTGAAGTAGTGAGACTGAATCCTTTTTCCTCTTCAAAATTTTCATTAATATTATACTGACTTTTCACTTATTAAAAGATTATCATTTGTTTGATGTTTGCTTTTCCTCTTCAAATAGTTTTGCTTTTTCTTTAAAGTTTTCTACTTCATTTAAACAGCATTGCCACTGGAGATTGTTCCCAGATTCAGGAGCTATTTTTGCGTAGGACAGGTTAATGATGGAAGAGAAAAATCTGTTCATTTCCTCAAATGCTAGAACCATAATCTTGATATTCAGTATCTATGGACATCTACACTTTCTGAAAAACACACCCTTCCAGTTGAGTATCTAGTGATGTTAGTTTCTTTTAAGCCAGTGAAGAGGAAACATTTGCTTGCCATAAGCTCTGCTGACAAAATATTTTACTTTGATAAAAGAGTAAAATCATCCACAAAAATCCAAACAAGATGTTCATGTATATGTACAGCGGAAAGCTAAACAACCCAAAGCTCATTTTATAGCTGTATATGGTATGTATATAATAACTTACACATGAACTGTACATGTACTGAGAAAACTGGTTTAAAAAAATTAAGAAAACTATGAAGTTTAAACCACAGCATTCCCACCCCTTTAAAGAAAAAATCAATAAACTACTTTAAATTGGAATTTAATAATTCAAGGATTCATGCTGCAAGATAGCCACTGAAGGTACAATAAAAGAATACCTAACAGGCTAATAAAAAAGAAAAATTGAATAATATAAGAATAGTTAATCAATCCAAAAGAAACAAGAGAAAAAGGAACATAAAACAGTTGCTACCAATGTAAAGCAAAACAGTAAGATGGTAATTTATGCCCAAATACATCAGGAATTACGTTAAATATAGACTGACTAAACAACTCAATTGAAAAATAACAATAAACTGGATGAAAACCAACTATTTTTGTTCACAAGAGATACACCTTAAATGTATGGATATGGAAGATTATAAAGAGAAGGATGGAAATAATACACCATGCAAACACAAGCCAAAAGAAAGAGGAGTAGCTATAATAATGTCAGATGAAGTAGGATTTAAAGTAAGAAATACTGGATATAAATAAGGACATTTCATAATACTAAAGAGGGTTAATCTACAAGGAAGGCATAAAAATTCTACATTTTATAAACACCTAACAACAGAATCTTAAATAGCTATAAACATAAAACTGATAACTAAACAAAACCACAAACCCATAATCATAATAGATTATAACATACCTTTCTCACAAAGTAAAATAAATCATTAAAGACATGGCCAATACAAACAGCACACAATTAGTAAATATCACCTACCAACAACAAGAACAATATACATTCTTTTCAATTGGACTTGCAATATTTATCTAAATGGGTCAAAAACAAATCTCAACAAATTACAGATAATTAAAATCTTATGGTGCATGTTATTTGACCACAACATTAAACCAAGAAGCAATAACAGAATGGTAACTTACGCAAAACAATTCTGAATAACTGTCAGGAGGAAAAACATTTACTTTTAAATATAGCAAAGCCAAGCCTCACAAACATTTCCCATGCAAAATATTTCTTTATATAGAGAATATAGTTTTACTTTTCCTTTATCATTTTATACAATTTTATGAAATTCAAGACCACCAGTTCCTACAAGCAAAATATTTCCAAGTTACTGTGTTCATCAAAGCACACCTGAAAGAAACAGCTGATGGGGCTGGGGGGATGGGGAGAGGTAATTACATTATGTATACATAAGGCAACTTTAAGGATTACTTTTTTTTAGAATGAACATCAGAGTTTCTTCTAAATTCTTAGGTAATTTTAAGGTCAATTATTCTACTGCAACTTCTTCAACTTTTACTTTTTATGAAATGTAGATTAAAACAAATAAGATCCTGACTCCTTCCATCTTTAAACTGTTATTTCTAGCATGGTAATGCCAAACAGATCGATTTTATATATTGTGACTGAAGTAATGCAATGCTCTTAAAAGTTACTTTTATATTTTCTGAGAAATAAAAGAAATAAGATGTACTGTTATTTCAACAATGATTTATAAACAAAAGCTGTGCCCTCTGAAAGAAAATCCTAGTCCCATGTTTATTTTTTACTCATTTTTTTTCAAAATAGTAAATTCACATTATACTGATTAAGTTAAAAAAGAAAAGTTAAAATTCTGAAAAAAGCAACATCATGATACATGTAAGGAAACAAGCCAGGTACATTAGTTTCTAATAAAGCTGAGATCTGTATTTCACAAATGCATGGTTATTTTCTGCAGGATCATTTGGTTGGCAGACTTAGTCCTATCCAAAAAAGTCAGTAAGACATTTGGTCCATGCCACATGGTCCCAAAAATTTAGTCCTTGCCAAAACATTCATGAGAAAATTCGGTCCATGCCAAATGATTTTGGACAGGGCCAAATATCAAGGACCTTTTGGCATGGACTTTACAAACCAAAGACCTTATGGACTGAATGTCTTACAGATGTTGTAGACATGACCAAATGTCCTTTATACATTTCTTCATTCAACACCACATTTACTGAGTAACCTGAATGCTGGGTAGAAAGAAGAGAGTAAGACAATCTGCTTTCCATGAGACTGTATACTGAAGAGACTGACTATAAACATATAACCAAATGAATCTGTAATTCAGATAAAGATAAATGCTATGAAGAAAAAGAAAACAGATTAAAGGGAAAGAGAGTGGTGGGAAGAGGGGAGTGGAGTGGGAAGCTGCCTAATTCAGACAGGGTTGTAAGAAGTCAGTCAGGTATTTGAAAGGAGAGAGGACCATGGAAAAGGACTGACAAGAATGAGCTTGGCAGGTGTGAAGTACAGCAAGAAGAGGAATCAAACACATTAGATGAATTTTATACTACATAGCACTGTATGCTATTTCTTAACATCTTTATCCCACAGAACTATACTGTTTTCTTTCTTCCCCTTACCTGGTCGAATTGTACTATCTCTCCCAAATAGATGAAGGCGTCTTCTACCAAGACAAAAATGTTCAATTATATGAAAAATTTCTACAGGCTTCTCTATATTGCCAATTTCAGGTTCTTCTGTGATAATCAAGTCAATGTCAACATTAGCATGAATGAAGTCCCCGTCTGTGCTACGCTTAACGGTTCCTTTGATCCCCATGAGGCAGTGTTCCTAAACAACAGTAAGAGCAGACCAATGAATCTCTTTTCATTAACAGTAATAGTTCATAACATTTTACATTTCTGATGTTCCCAATTCAAAGACAATCCTCGTTTCTCTGAATCTTTGGGATATGGTTCTAAGGGCAAAAGTACAGTAAGAAAAATCTGGATCTCTGGATATGGGAAGATTGCCAGGGAAGCTAGGCAATAGAATATTAAACTTGGGGTCATCACATTTTAGAACTGAGTCAGTGACCATGGAATCTTCTTTCCATCTGCAACACTTGATAATAACTTGTTTTCAGCAGTTATGGAAACATGGCACTTGACTTTGGAATCTTCAGATGTTATACTGGGCCTCACATAATCCAAGATCAAAACTATCTACAAGATGTAAGCCTTTTCATATGGAGCACGGACTTAAAGGATGAATACAAACTTCTAAATACTCAACATAAGTAAATGTGAAAAGTCAGTTTCTCTCTTTTTTTTTTTTGACCTCAATTCAATCTGGAATGGTGGGAGTATGGTTTAAATAAATGTAATCTCACCTGACTGCATGAATTAATAATAGTAAGGATGGCTTAGATTCCTTTCAAGAGAATTTCTAGTCTAAAAAGACCCTCCATCAGTGGGTCCCTGAAAAATGAAAGACTGGAGCACAAACTATTAAAGCCTGATAACTAGTCAGGCAGTCCTAAGAAGCAGAGGTTCTCAGCGGTGCTTGTTTAGGTTTTTAGGGTTCTTATGTAGGAAGAAGAAGCAAAGGGGAGAGAAGTATTTATCCAGCTGGCCAGCTATGAGTCCTGCTGCCATTTCTTTACTAGGCCTAGATAAAAGGAAAAAAATCCGGGGGTCAGAAGTACCAAAAGCCCACATTTGACTCAGTATTACAGCAGTTTAGGACACACAGGAATGCACACTGCCTTCTCCAGCACAGTATAGGTTGATCTAATTGAGTAAATAAAATATTTTAAAATTAACTTAGATGTATTACTTTGCTGCTCAATGCCATTTTTTGTACAAGTCTAGGAGAAGGATCTTTCCACTAAAATTAATTAAAAGTATACAGTCATTTGGAAAAGCTTAAGAGAAAATAATGAAAATAAAGAAAACAAAGCAGTAATGGCAATACCTTTGTTCTCTGGAAGACAGCCTTTGGATCTAAAGTCTTAGTCTTCCCTGGATTGTTTTTATTGGTTTTAATCCAACAAATATCTTCACATCTTCTATAACCCCACTTGCGTAAACACTAGAAATGAAAGAATTAAAAAAAAAATTCTTTGCTAAAAGAAATAAATAATACTTAAAATAACCAACCAGCATTAAAAACTTCCTAAAGATCTGAGCCACTAAATTTCAAGGTGTCACAGTAATTTTGTTTTAGTGCAGGAATAAAGAAATACTAGTCTTTAAATATACAGCCATTATATAGACTTCGTATATATCTTTTGGATATTAATGTAATAGATATAGTTAATATCAAAACATAGAAAGGATTACATAATACTCCAATTATTTAATACTACCTTCCACTGTCATCAGTAGAAAGTGGGTTTTAAGGGATAAAACACTCAGCCTCTCTTTAATCAAAAGTAATTCGAAAGATAGTTTCCTTCCTGCCACCTCAATTTTCTATCCTCTGACAAAACTAAAAACTGTTGAAAATGCTCTAATCAATAACTCCTTTTCAAATGAGAGCCTTCTAAAATGTTATTTTTAATATATTTAATACTAAATCTCAAAAATTCAAAGACTTAAAATTGTTATGGATATTTCTTTATTGGGTAAATTTTACTTTCATCTTTACACAACCTAGACAATAGAGAGATCTGAACCTTAGTGTTGTAGAATCTGTCACATGTGAACATGTAACAAATACTAGCTAACTCATCACTCAGAGTGGCATCTTGAGGCCTGTCATATGTAGGTGTTGGCTAGCTGCTCGGAATGAAAACATGAGTAAGACATAGTCCTTATCCCTAGCTGATTCAAAAGCCAAGTAGAAGAAGTAAGCTAATGGTGGCACAATATTGTTGGTACTATGATCAAGTATAAATAAAGATATCATGCAGCATAAAACACACTTTTCAGGAATGCTCTTATTGTATAAGCTGAGATACACCTCAAGATGAAACTTAAGATTTTTATTTTAAAATCTCAAAAATCAAGATCAGTATCTCTTCCAGCTGCTAAATATCTGTTCTGTATTGAATGTTCATTAAAATCCAACATGTCCTAATCAATTTACTAAAAGCTTGTCAGTATTTCTCATGCTGAATTATTTTTGTAATCATTTTTGGCCAAAATCTACTTTCACCGATATAATAAACTGCTGCATAAACAAATAAGACAAATCCTAATCAATTTCAACCTAATTTGGGGACTAGGGGGTTGGGGCGAAAGCTCCAAGCCAGACGTTAAAGCTAAAAAAGGTAAATACGAATATACCTATAAAAACATAGAGGATGTTTCTCTCACTTCCTCGGCTTTTCTATTGCATCTTGGGGAGGTGCCAGCAATAAAACAGATACACAGTTGGAATAGTTCTAGTCTTACCATGGAGTTAATAAATGACAGAGGCAATGATGTTCTCCAACCTGCTATTTATATAAATACAAAGCAACTGCAGAATTTCAGGATTTGAGCACAAATATATCTCAATATAATCCTACTTAAATTCTTTATCTGTCAAATGGACACCTCCTAAAATTGCCAGGATTAAATGAGATCATTTATTGTATATCAAGTAATATGTCCTAAAAATGTAAAGTATTATCCAAAGACAAGTGAGGGAACTGAAATCCACAAGAGTAGTATCTCTTTACCCAAAGTTTCACTGTTGGACAACAGAACTGAGAGCAAAACTGAGGACTCCCAACACCTAGCCACAATGCTCCTATTAGTCTTGGATAAAAAAGTTTGTATTATTTTGTTTCCATTTAGAATCCAAAACACTCCATTCAAAAAAAAAAAGTTCTGAAATACAATAAATACATGTACTTAAATTGAGATGTTGTAACTCCTCTCTTACTTTCATTCATTCATTCAAACTATGTGTTCCAGATACTGTGTTATTTGTCTTATCTGATTTGGCTTCCATCTGGAATGCAGGAGTTAATGCTATTCAGAAGCATACTTCTCAGATACTGATAATGAGCAGTAAATGACACTAAGCAGCTTGTTTTTGAGCTATAATTTAGTTTCAAATCTCTAAACTGTTCTCTTCCTGCAGTTATAATGAATCATATTTTGATTTAGTCATTCCTAACACTAGTTAACTAAGGGGTACTGCTGCCTCTTGCACATTCTTTTCTAAACATTTTTCTTCTTCTGAGTACTTTAGTACTATTCAAGAAACAAATGACAAAATAACATTAATCTTCAGACTTCTTATGCAACATATCGTGTTATATTTTTTTCTTATGAATTTAAAAATCCACCAAAAAACACCACCTTACCACTCTTCCAAGGTCCAACCCCTCCCCAGAACCACACCAGAGAAAAATAAATGACCGAGGTGCTGCAATCTCATCAATCTCTAACTTCATAATCTGTAAGAAACCAAGACAATATTGCATAAATATGCAATCATCTCAAATCTATTTTCCCATTCATCCTAAATCCAAAAGAACCAGCATTGAGATTTATCAAGACTTAGAGTAGATATGTTCTTTAAATGTACTCATTTTCACTAGGAAATACCATAGGAAATAAATCTTATCCTTAAAACTTGCTCTTCTGTTGTTTTCTTATTCTGTATTAGGACAACACACACACATGCACACATACACTATATACAACTTGATTTTATATGTAAAGAGGTAATGGGAAACCATATTTATAGAATTACGTAATTTTATAAGATACAGTTTAGAGCAGTCTGTTACTATTTACAGAAAAAGAAACTGAAATAAAAAGGGATTAAATTACCCCAAGGTTACAGCAAAATTAAAACATAACAAGTATTTGGGAAGGACTTGGTTTCCAGTAGAACAGTTCTAAAGAAAATAAATCAATTCACACATTTCATTATAATGACTGCTTTCAGTCTGAAATGTCAAAAAATCGAGATTACAATTTGTAATGTGTTGAGTGTATCACATTAAAAAAATCTTCAATACTTAAACCTCTAAATTTTGAGAATACTGTATACTTACAAATATGACTATGAAAGCAACCATTTTATATGGTATTCTTTTCCTTTCAGCTTTCTGTCAGTTAAGAAGTCCCAGAGACCATGGTTCAAGTAAATATTTATTAATTTTATTTATTAAGAAAATCTTAACTTCTACCTGAGTAAATGATCATAACCATATCATCTATAATTTATCTAAGTAAAAAAAAAAAATACTTGACAGTAATAATGGAAATGAATTACAAAAGGTATAAACTTATTCAGTTTTATACTTCTTACTCTTTAAGTCTTGATATCATCTCATCTAATATTCTCATAGGAATATGAATAATATGTAATACACACAGGCACACACATATATTCCTATATACATGTATACACGGTATTGCTAAAGGTAAGTGATGACACACGTCAGTGAAGAACATTAAGCAAGTTACTATCTTGACACCGCAGTTATAAATGCTAAATGTTGGTATTTTAAATAACTATCTCTATTCTTAACCAAAACACACTGACCACTACTGACTCTCTAATGTGAAAAAGAATACTTGTGCAACCCAAATGCCTTTCTTATTTATATTTTATTAATTATATCAGCTAACAACACTTTCTTTAGGATATTATCACATGAAGGTTAAAAGCTTAGGGCTCTGGGGCCAGACAAAACTTTTTTCTATGCTTGAAATTCCTTTATTTCAAAGACTCTATTACCTTGTCATATATAATTGAATCTCTTGCGTCTTCACTGACCAAACCTAACTACTAATCAAAGATATCAGATTAATTTTTTTCAATTTTCCTTTGACTAAACAGAGACTGTTTTTATATTATTAATCAGTTTTGATGAGTATACGGTGAAATAGACAATTCTTAAACATTCCTGGAAAGAATGTAAATTTGTGCAACCTATCTGGAAAACTCAGCAATAAATATCAACAGCATTACATCTTTAACCTTAAGTTATGGAGATACTATACACTGTACTTTTCCGAATTTCAACAATATACACAGATCACACTTATCAGAGGAGAGGAAAAACTTCTGTAAAGTAAAATAAAATAGAAATAAAAATGTAAATAAAAGTGCCAAAGGTATTGAACCTGCTAAGGGAAAGCTTCAAGGAAGAAAACCGTACGTATATCTTGAAAAGTAACATTAACAATAACAACCATTAACTCAGAAAGGAGGTGCAATATTCAAAGCAGCTTCCTATGAGACACCAGTCTCACAGTTTCAGTCCTTTCCCTACCTCTCTTGTGTTCAGTGGTCCCAATCACTCTCTCCTTGAAATGCTCTATTCCCTTGGCTTCCCTTACAGTCACACTCTTTGTTCTCCTCACTCATCTCTGACCTATTCTTTTTACAACTCTTTTATATGTGTATCTCACATGTAAGTTTCCTGAGGCTTTACTGTCAATCCACGTTGTATCTTAATTGAGACACTATCTCAAGACAAATTCATTTATTCTCATAGATTTAATGTGGTAATCCTCTAAAATCTGTATTTTGAGATGACCAGATCTGTCTGTCCTTTAAGTTTCATACTGCTGTTACAATCTATGCTTGAATGTCTCACATACACCTCAAAATCAACACATTCAGTATTACCTAATCCCTGTAACACTGCTCTTCTTCTTAAATTGACTCTCAGCTGATGAAAACTCACCCCACTTATCCCAAGACTCAATCCTTTGAGTCATCTTTAACTCCTACCCTCATCCGCTAGACCTCACCATAAATATCTACTAAACATTAGTAAATTTATCATCTCCTTCCTATTCTTACTACCATCACCCTAATTCAGGTTCCTTCATCTTCAAACAAGGCTACTGCAATAGCCTTCTAACTGCTCTCCCCTCTCCAGACTTCATTTTTTCTAGTCTATCCTCCTACACATACTAATCTGACCATTTCAAAACTGGTTAAAAACCTTCAAACTCCTTAATGCCTTTGGGATAAAAGTCCAACCCACTAAGACAGCAACTCAAGAGAGTCCCAATCTGTGTTCCAACATCATCAACTTACATACAGACCTCCCCCATCCATCTCTTTGCCTCCTCCATCCCTTCTGCTCTTGCTGTTCCTTCTGCTTGGAATCCCTATCCCACCCCTTCCTTCATCTGGCCAATTCAAACTAATATATTTATACTGTTTATGTGTCATTTCCTCTTTGTTTATGTCCCCCAGCTTCCTAGGCTTGGTCAGTTTTTTGCAAATCGTCTAATGCAGTCCTCTATTACTGAACTAACAAAATGATAACGCAATTACTTGTTTGGGTCAATGTTTATCCCATTAAACTGTGTGCTCCTTAAGGCCCAGTATATCATGTTTTTAGACTTATTTCTAGCTATACATCCAAGGACCCTGAGACTGGAATTGCCAGTCTACAGACTATTTATTCACTACTTGCTCAACTTTTGCCTCAAAAAGAAAAATGAGACTAAAGATGTTTTAATATTTGTTAATGTACCTTAGACTTTCAGCCATAATATATACTATAAATTTATATTTATGATTCCTAAATCATTAGATATTTATAATCTTATTTTCTGATCAGGTAATCATAAATTCATTTGAAAAATAAATAACTCATTACAATGTAGAAAGGTTCATCGTACATCATCCCAAGTCCAGCATTTTTCATTAGCAGTGATGCCAGTCTCTCTGTAATATTCTTCTAAAGGGGGTTCCAGAAGAATCACATCAAATTTGGGTGTTAGTTCTCTGATGTCAAAAGCTTCTATATCTGCTTGTAAGTACCTATTTGATTAAAGCATAAAAAGTAAGAGATTTTTCTAATACTTTACAGATACTACAGAGAAATTTTTAAAATATTTCCTAATCACTGTTTACAAAGTGAACATGAGCTAATTACTGAATACCTTTTTATGGAGGGGCATCTTTCTTCAGTACAGATGTAAACCATCTACCAATGCTCTTCCCTAGGAAATGGATCTAATCACACTACAAAGTAAAATCCTAGTCCCCCACGAACATCCAGAACATAAACTTCTCTCGGAAAATCCATATTGCGATGTAAATCTCTGAGCCCTTTTCTGTTATCATCTGAAGCTTCCAAGGACTATCACATTATTCTTCCTCAATTATTATTAAGTTAAACAACTAACTGTGAGTTTTCAATTCCTTTTAAAAAGAGCTTCTAAAGATGGACATAATTTTTTTTTAGTTTGTTAGTAATATTATTTATATTAATCTTTTCCAGCTATTTAGTAAAAGTTACTACTAGCCTTTACTTAAAGATTATTTCCACATAGTATCTAAGTGTTTTAAACATAAATATAAAATACTTTAAATGTAAGAATATTTTTAAATAGGATGAATATTAGTCTGCTAATCTTTTTCCCCACAAACTCATACTTTTTGTGGTTCTTCTAATCATTAACAGTATACATTTTAGCAAACTGTTAAACATACAGAATGCTCAAAGCAAGCTAAATATGAAATAAACAATGTCTCCAATTTCAAAGATCTTATACACTTTTTTGAGGGAAATATTCTGTTTAGCAAAGGTTAAAATGAATTTTTGTATTCCAAAATATTAAGAAAAGTATCCCTGGATGCAAAGTTATAATTAATTTTCATTTTCTTCTTTTCCTTCACTAAGCTTTCTAAACATTTTTTCAATAAGTAACTTTTGAGAAGAAAAGTCATTTAAAAACATTTTAAGATAGTCAAGAATACAAGTAGTATGACTTTCCAAGAAAAAAATTTAAAGACACTTTAAGTAAATTAGCTAGAAAGTTGAAAAAAATTAAATGAGAACCCACTGTGTACTCAGCACTGGAGTTTCAAACTAATATAATTTTACTATACAGAAGAAAGTGTGTGTTAACCTTACAAAAGTGCTGAATTTTTTTTCAAACAAAGCTTGCAGGATAAAAAGACTGATATTCTAAGCCTGAGTTGGGAACAAACCCACTTACATAGGAGGTGTGTTAGATTTAGCTATTAACTCATCCTTCAGCCTGATGAGTTCCCTCAGTTTAGGGTATTCTTCAAATCTGTCAGCCAAACCTGAGGAGGAAAAACAGTAAATTCTAAATGTCAATATAACTGAATATCAGTGAATTTACAGGTGGTGAGCCCTCTCAGGAAAGCAAAACAATACACAACGACCTCACTATCCTCACATCCTTTTAAAAAAGTTAATTAAGGGTGTTTAAAAATAATTCATATATACACTTTATACCTAATGATCCTATCCCCATATGCAGGCAAACACCCAAATCACTCAGATGTTTTAAAGCCCAGATCAAGTCAATAAACAATTTAATTTCTCATATTTATTAAATAATCTGCTTATAGCACCAATTTTAGCCATTCTGCTCTCAGGAAAAAAAAAATTTGTATCATGCTTTTTTTCCCCTTTTCTTTTTACTAAAAAATTTCTTTCTCCCAAAGAACCTAGTTATTGAATCAGACTTTTACTTAGTTTCTTAGACAGTTACCCAAAGCAAAAAAAAGCGAGGATTTCTTTTCTTTACTACTGATGATCTTAAATTAACTGATGATGCCTTAAGGACACAATCAATCCCAGAACAAATCAAGTTGAAAAGATAATGAATTCCTAATAGTAGATTACCAATCACTTCACTCACTCTGATTGCTTATCTAAAACTGTACTACCAATTCTAAGACAAGTTACTTTCTCTAAGAATATTTCCTATATCAATACTTACAGTTTTAAAGATCTCAGATCTTCACATTATTATAAACCAAAACCTCACATATATTTTCAAGCTGAGGACCTTGAAAAACATCCACAAGTTTCATAAAAGTTAAAAATAGGAGACTCACTATTCCCATATCCTAAAAAATACTTAAATCTTTGAGCCTCAGGAGAGATTTTAGATAAAACAGCATAATGCCTGTTTAAACAACTGTAGAGGTAAGTAGGGCTTTGAATATCAAGGATTCCTAAAAGTTCTTACTTGTTTTTTTTTCCCCTACAAGAAGCATATTCATAACAATATGAATTATGTAAATATTTTAAGTTAAAAACCAAAAGTACATATTAATCCCTCTAATGTTAAAGAGTAAAAAAGTGAAAGATTTTGTAAAGCTTCCTTAATTGGTGGCTATAGATCAAATTACAAGTAAAACAAGTTTGAAGATTTCATTATAGTCAGGTTTCAATCACAGCTGGGTCAGCTCTTAATCACCTACAAAACAGAAGGTACAACTTTTTCTCAATCTATAATATTTTCTTAAGTACATTTTCTTTGCCTTGGAGACAATGTCTCAAAAGCAGAAAGGTTGATAATGAAATTTGGTTATACAACTTATAACTTTAACAAAAAATAGCTTTATTTTTTGACAAACAAAAACTTATATATTAAACTTATACTTAATGTATACCATTTGATGAGTTTGAACATATGCATACATCTGTGAAAACATCACCACAATCAAGGTAAGACATTATCTGTCACCTCCAAAAGTTACTTTGTGTTCCTCTGGTTTTTGTGTGTGTGTAGTAAGAACACTTAAGATTAGACCTACCCTCTTAAAGTTTTTAAAGTCTTGTTGACCATAGTCAACAGTACTGCTAACTACTGGCAATTTGCTATACAGCAGATCTCTAGAATGAATTCATTTTGCATAAATGAAAACTTTATACCAATTGAACAACTCCCCATTTTCCTTTCCCTCCTGCCCCTGATTACCACTGCTCTATTCTCTGCTTCTATGAGTTTGACTATTTTAGGTATCATATATATTTATATACATGTACTATTTTAGGTATCTCTATGAGTGCATGCATATTTGTCATTCTGTGACTGGCCTATTTCATTTACCATTATCATAACCTTTTGTGCTACATCTAAATTTTGCCCATGAAAACATTAACATCAGTTTCTACACGTTGCTTACAAGGAAAAGATAAACTTGATTAACATCAAAATTAAAATTTTTGTGTTGCAAATGATAACATCAAGAAAGTGAAAAGACAACCCACAGAATGGGAAAAAAGACATGCAAATCATACATTTGATAAGGGACTTGTACGGCAAATACGTAAAGAATTCTTACAATGTAATAATAAAAAGACAAATTATCAATGAAAAAATAAGCAAAAGGATTAGACATTTCTCCAAAATAGGTATTTAAATGGAAAAATAAACATATGAAAAGATTCTTAATATCATTAGTCACTAGGGAAAAGCAGATCAAAACCACAGTGAAATACTACCTCATAGCCACTAGGATAGCTATAATCAAAAAGACAGATAGTAAGTGTCAAGGATGGGAAGGAACTGGAACCCTCACATACTGTTAGTAGGAATGTAAATGGTTCAGCTGTTTCAAAAAGCAGTTGGGCAGTTCCTCAACAAGAAACACAGAATTACCACATAACCCAGCAAATCCAATCCCAGGTATATACCCAAGAGAAATGAAAGTGTACAGCCACACAAAAATTTTACACAAATACTCATAGCAGCATAGTTTGCAACAGCTGAAAAGTGGAAACAACCCAAATGAATGGTTAAACAAAATGTGGCCTGTACACACAATGGAATATTATTTGGCAATAAAGAGGAAAGTACTGATATATGCTACAACAGCAATGGTCCTTGAAAATGTAAGTGGAGAAAAAACCCAGTCACAAAATATTGTATGATTCCAATTATATGAAATGTCTAGAATAGGCAAATTGATAGAGACAAGAGTCAATTAATGGTTATTTAAGGCTGGGGACAATTGTGGAAGAAGGAATGGGAACCGACTGCTAATGAGTTCTGGGTTTCTTTAGGGGAGATGAAAATGTTCTAAGAATGTGGAGAAAAGGGAACCTTTGTATACCATTGGTGGGAATATAAATCAGCACAACCACTGTGGAAAACAGTACCCAGGTTTCTCAAAAAACTAAAAATAGAACTACCATATGATCCAGCTATTCCACTCCTGGGTATATATTCCAAGAAAATGAAAACACTAAGTGGAAAAGATACATGCACCCCAATGTTCATAGCAGCATTATTTACAACAGCCAAGATAGGGAAGCAACCTAAGTGTCCACTGACAGATGAATGGATAAAAAAGATGTGATATGCACACACACACATACAAATACACACACACCCAATGAAATACTACTCAGCCATTAAAAAAATAGATTTTCCCATCTGCAACAACGTGAATGGACTTGGAGGGTATTATGCTTAGTGAAATAAGTCAGAAAGAGAAAAACAAATACTGTAAGTTACCACTTGTATGTGGAATCTAAAAAATAAAATCAAACTAGTGAATATAACAAAAAAAGAAATAAAACAAAAAAGAAATAGACTCACATATGTAGAGTACAAACTAGTGGTTACCAGTGGGGAGAGGAAAGGAGGGAGATATAAGATAGGGACAAGGGATTAACAGTTATAAACTTCTACATATAAAATAAGCTACAAGGATATATTGTATAGCACAGGAAGTATAGCCAATACTTTTTAATTATAAATGGAGTATAATCTTCAAAAATTGTGAATCAATATTTGTATACCTGAAACCTATAAAATACTGTAAATCAACCATATCTCAATTTTTTTTAAAAAGTTCTAAAATTAGATTGTGGTAATGGCTTAACAAACCTGGGAGTATACTTTTAAAAACTGAATTATATTCTTTAAATGGGTAAATTGTATGGTACATGAATTACCTCAATCAAGTTGTTTTTTTAAAATGCAGAGATAATGCCTTTGATGAGCTTTTTGGTAGACTGGGCACAGCTAAGGAAAGAATTTGAACTTGAGGATATCTCAATAGAAACCTCAAAAACTGAAAAGTAAAGAGAACAAAAATTGGAAAGAAAAATAAAGCCAGAATATCCAAGGACTGTGGGACAACTACAGCTACAAAAGGTATAATGTGTAATGGGAATATCAGAAGGAGGAAAAAGAGAAAGAGGAACAGAAGAATTATTTGAACAATGACTGAGAATTTCCCCAAATTAATGTCAGACATCACCAGATTCAGGAAGCTCAGAGAGTACCAAACAGGATAAATGCTAAAACAAAAAAACAAAAAACAAAAGCAAACAAAAAAACCTAACTATACCTAGACATATTTTCAAACTACAGAAAATCAAAGATAAAGAAAAAATTCTGAAAGAAACCAGAAAAAAAAAATACTGTACCCATTGAGAAACAAAGATAATTATACCCAACTTCCTCAGAAACAAGAAAAGAGTTAAGTAAAATATTTACAGTTTTGAAAGAAATAAAACACCAACCTAGAATTCTGTATTTTGCAAAATTATCTTTCAAAAGTAAAGGAGAAATAAAGACTTTTGCAGACAAACAAAACTGGGGGAGTTTGTTGCCAGTAGACCCTCCTTGCAAGAAATGCTAAAAGAAATTTAGAAAAAAGGAAAATAATACAGGTCAGAAAATCAGAACTACATAAAGAATGGAAGAGTATGGTAGCAAGGAATAAGTGAAGATAAAATAAAAATGAGGGCGACTAACAGAACTAAAGTGAAAGAAAGAAGAGAAGGAAAAAAGTAATACCACTTGATGGAAAAATGCGTACTAGAAGTACTAAGAATGGAAAGTGGAAGCCAAGCCAGGAAAAAGTTTTGTTAGAAATAATCCAAAAAATGAATAAATTACATGCATATAATCAACAGCTAGCCATAGCATATTCCCAACAAATCTGACATACCTACATCCCTGATGAAATTCTGAGGTCTGTGTCCAGTGTCTACAAAATGTTGGCAGTAATCATTATGGGGATTTAAACTCTGTGTTCCCTAAAAAAAGGTCAAAATTAAATTAATAGCAATCACTCTGATGACAGATATACTAATTTTGTACTTTATTTTTTATTATGAGGGATACAAAATATAAGCTGATTGACAGATTTTAAAAAATTGAAATCATCATTACTAAAATGATGGTATTATTCTTCAGTATCTACAGATATTAATAAGGCATTATCTCATCCTAAATGACCAAGTATCAGAAGAGTATTTCATGAATAATTTTAAATGATCTTTATATTATAATAATGATTCCTGAATAACTGAAAAAAATCTTGAGAACAAGTAAGTGTTTAAAATCTTTTCAGGCATAGGGCTGAAGTGTAAAGATTTTTAGATTTGAAAATGATTTATTTACCTTAAGAAAAGTACTAGAATCTTTGTAAATCTCTTCTTCATATGGCAAATTCTCTTCTTCCTGCTGCATTTCTAATTCATCCTTGGAAAAGAAAGATTGAGGAAACATTTTATGTATAGGAGGAATATTTTATACATTATAATATCTTGAGTATTAAGACTCACATAAATGTTTTATTTCCCTCAGGTATAATAAATTTTTCAAATTACCATTAAAGTCAAACACTGAAGCTATTGCCTTCACATCATTAGCTCTAACTAGTTATGTTTACAATAAAATAAAATTTCCCTTTTCATTCTCATCAATAATTAGCTATAACTACTGTTTGTTGACTAAGTTATCTAAAATTATTTACCTCAGATATACTATAAATATTAGAATTTAGCCCAAATCAATTTGATTTCTACTAGATTGAACCATATAAAACTGCTATTTCTCAAAATATACTTAAAAAATTAAAATACCAGGAACTATATATGGTTTGACCTAATATAATCCAAGTATTTAAGTTACATATTAGCATATATCAAAATGTAACACATAAGATAGCATTTAAGAAATTAGGTAATTATATTGTTGAAATTCCTAGAGACTTAGTAAAACTATTCATTCCCTTCTCTATTAAATATAGTTGCACAACAATTAATTTGAAAACAATGGAAGCAGGTTTTTTGTCCTTAACTTTCTTTTCCACTAAATATTGCAATTACATGTTTAGGAGTTGTGTTTTTTCTTCGGCCTCTGTCAGAAATGGTTCTACACTTTATTTGAATTGTACTACCCCATATTGTTAATATGGAAAAATGCAACTCAAAAAAGAGTACTGTAGCCTCTTGAAATTTGATCCAATTATCCAAAGTTTCTGATACATCTACCTCCTCACTCTTATTTAAGAATGCTATTGCCTAGTACTTACTAGGCATTATGCTAAGCGCTTTATACATAAACTTCTTGTGTTAAAATGAGGAAACTGATATAAATGTCTTTATTTACTTGATTCCATGTATGTCGCTGACAATCATTTTAGACACTCTAAAATTCAGCTTTTATCAGATTGTTTTCCTAAATAAGCATCTATGAATTGTAAGGATTTAGTTTTTCTTGACCATAAAACTGTCCCATTTTCTACTTGCCTTATATACTTCCATTTTGTCTTCATCTGTCTCTCCTTCATCCTGATACTTACGTTTTGCACTTGGAGCAGAAGTATCATAGGAAGCCCTAAAAATTAAAACTGAAGTATCACACACAAATATGTACAAGATGAAGGGGGAGGGTACAGCTCAGTGATACAGCGCATGCTTAGCATGCACAAGGTCCTGGGTTCCATCTCCACTACCGTTAAAATAAGTAAGTAAATAAACCCAATCACCTCCTCCCAAAATAACAACAAAAAACGATCAAATATATACAAGATGTATAAATGCATGCATTAATAACAGGTTATAAAAAAGAATAAAGCAAATTTTTCCTGACTAAACAGTATCTAGTCACCCAGTTTATAAATCTTAAAGTATCACAACCTGATTAGTAATTCTGTACTTTATTTTTATGAGAAAGCAATCAAATGAAAAATAAGCTTTAATAAGGCATGTATGGCAAAAAGAAACTTCTACATTACATATCATTACATACATAATCTGTCTTGAGCAAAACTGATGTTCAAATTGATAACTACAATACCGAAAGATTCTAAATGCTTTAAGAACTATCAAACAAATAGCACTTTTAGGGTAAAGTATGTTTTTTTAATAGAGTTTTTTGAATAAAATTATTTATGGTTCATAAGCTAATTCTCAGTCTAACATTCCATTTTCTAACTATCTTATAAATGAGAATTTACTATTATTCACAAAATGAGTATTTCATAATTCATGAATTAACAATAAAAACCAGTTTCTGAAATCTTTATGTTGATGCTTGCCGTGACAACACAATTCATACTTAGGTTACTGTTTATTAAAACAATGATCTTTTCACAATATTAACATATCACTAAAAAAAAAAGTTATTTGACTGACCTGCAAGTTTCTCTTGTTTCAGCAATTTCTCTCTGTTCATCTTTGCTATTTAACACAGCACCAATGCTGTCAGCACTTTCGGCTCCCAACTGAGAGAAGGCAAAAACCAAAAATTAGATCACAATGCAATGAAAAGCCTTTTCAGCCATGTATAGCAGCATTTAATCTATCAAGTATTAAAAAAAACAAAAAACAAAACACGTAACTACCTCAGCAGGCAAATGGATTAATTACCATGCAGGAAAACAGAAAACACCCTGGAACAAAATCATATTAATTAAGAATGATTTTAACAGCTGAAAATATTTTATGCCTTCAGTTATTCTGAAATGAAAACAATTTAGCCAATTCTCCACTTTTAAAGTAAATAATAAAACCGTAACTACCTCAGCAGGCAAATGAATTAATAACCTTGCAGGAAAACAGAAAACACCTTGGAACAAACTCATGTTAATTAAGAATGATTTTCACAGCTGAAAGTATTTTGGCCTTCAGTTATTTTGAAATTAAAGCAATTAATTTAGCCAATTCTCTATTTTTAACGTAAATAATAAAACTGTAACTACCTCAGCAGGTAAATGGATTAATTACCTTGCAGGAAAAACAGAGAACACCTTGGAACAAAGTCATGTTAATTAAGAATGATTTTAACAGCTGAAAGTGTTTTATGCTTTCAGTTATTTTGAAATTAAAAAGTTAACTTTAGCCAATCCACTACTGTTAAAGTAAATAATAAAACAATATAGCAGTAGTAGCAATAACAAAAAAAAAAAGCAGCTAACATATAATGTTTACAGTGTGGCAGGTACTATGTTAAACACTTTGTATCCATCAGCTTACCTGCTGTACTTTATCCCATGCTATAACAAATACTACTATTCAGTTTTATTCAAGCCAAGTTTTTATATAATGGTTACTGGCACATAATAAACTTTATAAATACCTGAAAAATGGTCATGCAAATTCTGGTTGGCAGTTCATGAAATTTTGCAAAATACAACCAATGTAAACAAATCACTAGTTGGGATAAGCTTGGCTACACAGAGTGGGATCAATTCATGGAAACCACTGAAAGCCAAACCAAGTGTAGAATGCAATTTGTAGGCCATGAGGAACCACTTAATATTTTTAAGTACAAGAAGGGCATAAGGAAATCTGCATTAAATAGTCCCTTTAGCTCAAGAAAGGGGAGAAGGCATACTAAAATATTACAGCTGGAAGTCCCCAGCCTGGATCTTAAAATATTATCACTGCCTCTTTAGACTACCCACTTCATGACTCCTCTCAGGCTTCTCCAGTGATAAGTCTCTTCCAATATATCAACTGTTTGAAATTTTAACTCTTCCATAAAATTTTCCTGACCCCTATTTTCTTTAATTAGAAGACACCATCTACTTCTCACTGGTGAAATGCTTTCTAACCTTCTTCCCATGACTGACTCCACTCCCTTCAAAAAGTAGATAATAGACTTTCCATTGTGGTAGCACTAAATACATTATTTGAATAATTATGACAATTGGTATCATTTGAAAGCATACATGATTTTTTTGAAACAAGGCCACAAGTTAAATAAAAAGCAGGTGTAAATTGTTGGTGGTAGCAACAACTGCCACAATCATGGTCTGGGCCTATATACAGCATCTAGCATCTTCATCCAACAGTCAAAAGCAAACCAATCAAATCATACACATTGGGTTATGCTCTACTCTGATAGTTCATCCATCAACAAAAATTTACTAAAAGCTTACTTCGGGCAAGAAACGAGGTTAAGGCAGAAGATTAACCCAACAGGAATTAAATGCAAAGACTTAGCACGGAAACTGTTTATATCCTGTATAACAGTAAGTAATATACAGCCGTGAACTCAATAGTAAAAGGACAATGGAAGCTCAGAGGAAGAAGAGACTAAACCAGGGAGATCAGGATAGGTTTCATCATGAAGTTCTCAACTGAGCTGTGCCATAGAGGACAGAGGGAAATCAGAAAAGACAATTTTAAAAAATCACAAAGTATATATTGCACAAATCATGTTCTGGAGAGTAATAAACCAGTCTGTCTTGCTCATACACAGAAAAGTAAGTGAAAGAAAGGCTGAAATTAGCTGGTAAAATGGAAATCTGTCATTAATTATAGCAGACATCCTTACTTTTAGACATTACTCCAGAGAAAATATTGTAGACCTATTTCACAATGAAGCCACAATCTCAAGAATTAGGTGCTGACTATGAGGAAAGACAAGACACAAAACGACCATTTAGACAGTGAAAAGAAATTTAGGGGAGAGCAAGTCACTTTTACTTGTGTGAACTGCGGTAATTCACTCACAAAGGCCAAAGTTTTGTATCCCCACCATTGAGCACCGTGCCAGACACTTGGTGGGCATTCTATTAAGGCTGCTGAAGACCAATCGTGGCGTTCGGTTTAGCACCACCACAATGACCTCGCCTCAAAATGGAAAACATCTGCGGCACCGCGGAAGTCGAGAATAAGAGAGTAGGTAGGCCCAGGGATTAAGGTCGCGGCACCAGAAAGGACTGCAGGTAAGGAGGAAACAAAGGGCCAGAGGAGGTAAGAGGACGCCACACACGCGGATTCACGATCCCTCCCGCGGCCGCAGACCTGCTGCGCGAGGAGCTGTCGCCGTAACTTCTGCCGCTCCCGGATCTCCTGCAAGCGGCTGTCCATGTCCCAACTCCTGTTTTCCACTACCCGGAAAACTTGGCAATTAGCGGACGAACCCCCACCCACTTTTTTTTCCCGAGTCTCCGGAACACGAGACTCTCCAGAAGCTTCAAATGCCGGGTACTCTATGTCCTTTCCTCAATAAATATTTCCGGCGCGGCCGGATTTGGCCCGACCGGCCCGGAAGTCCCGCCTCCTTCTGGGCGCCCGCGATTGACGCCACCTGGAAGGGGCCCAATGAGGGTCCAGCAACTCTGGCGTGGGCGGGGTCTTGGAAGGCGTGGGCGGTGCCCAGCCTGGGCTGTCAGAGCCGTTGCGGACGAGTCTCTGGTCTTCTCTTTTATCGTTTCATTGCGGAGACACCAGCTCCCTTGGCGTATCAGTACTGTTTCCAAGTTATGGGTCGTTTGGTTGATTTCCTGTTCCATTAATTCCCCAGTTGCCAGCAGAAAAATCGCCAGGTACCAGTTTTCTGCTGAAAGCACAAACCCTGACTACTTGAACCCTGGACTCTCATTTACTAGCTAAGCAGTCTTGGCTGGTTAATCACCTCCGTAAGCCTCGGTTTTCTCATTGGTAAAACGGGAGTTAATAAGAGTGCCTGCCTCACAGAATTGTGAAAACTGAAAGATTAAACAGAGCCAAACACACACCGCCATGGAGGTGTTTATTATTATTCAAATATTTTATTACTTATTTTACCCTTCAGTTAGGGAGCAACTGCATCTGCCCCTGCTCTTCTCCAGAACTCATTAGCCCTTGAAAATTTTCCTACTTTACTATAATGCGTTTTATGGATTCTTTTCCTAGAGAAATGAGTGGGTCGTAGTAAAATATGTCTTGGTTCATGTCGTAGAGGTTAGAGGCCAGAGGACCTCTTTTTGTGCTGATATATCTGTCTTAGCTGGAAATAACCCTGGGATAGGAAAACAGCCTACTGAAATTCCCTGACTGGAGCCGGGAGCAAGGAAGAGGCGTGATGGTGATGATTCACCTCTCTTCGTTAGAAAGCAGCAAAGACCAAAGTCTTATATACCACATTTGTCATCTTATTCCAAATTCAAAGTGGCAGAAGCAGATTGAGACATGTTGCCTCAAGTTGAATCGGGAAATTGTGGCAAGTACTTACCAACATTAGTAACAAGTCTTAATTCTTTGAGAGAGGATTTATTTTTTGAAAATAGAATTAAATCCTCCAGATCAAAACAGGCAATCAGTCTAGGCCAAAAGTGGGCAGGAGTAGACTTTACTAATTGTCATGTATTTCTCAAGAACTAGCTCTGAAAGGCGATTTTAAAAGAGGAGTCCTAAAAATCCCTTGTGTAATGGGAGCACTGTTTGAAAAAGTATGTTAACTTCCAAGGGCCTATATTGTAAAAGACTGTACTAGTTTGTACATATAAATTGAAGTGTCTTTCTTTAAAAATCGGTTGCATCACCTGCTAGTGATGTAAACTGAGTATTAATTTGAACTACTTCTCAGTGATGTGAATAGGTATTTTGCTCACTCAAATATTTATTGATATTTACTAAGATTTTATATGGCAGTCACTGTGATGGACCAAAGGTTTATCAAGTCTATCAAAGACCAAAACCAAATCAGTCAGTTTTTCTTTAGGGAGTTTACTGTCTAAAGGAGGGAATTTTTTTTTTCTAGCTAAGTGCAGTGCAGGTTATTTTCCTGTGGTATTTGAGCTCTATACTCACCTAAAGTCTGCTCTGTGATAATGGTTGAGCTGGGAGTTTGCAAACTACATTTCCCAGCTTTCCTTGTCAGATGCCTTCTTGTGAGGTTCTACCGAGAATTCTGCACAGGCATAAAATCAGAAGGTGGAATGTGGGAAAGGTATTGTTCCTTATTTCTCGTACTCTCTGCTTCTGGTATCCAGGGGGAATGGCTGTGCCGTTTACAAAGTCTCAGAGCCAGTTGCAGCAGCCCTTTCTTAATGGTTCTGTTTTCCCTTTCCCTACATATTTATGCAGCATCCACAGAAGTGAGTTTGCCTTGGGCTTTGATAATACCACCTCCACTTTCTACCAGCTCTAGGGCTGGTAGCCACTTTCTGCAATTAGGAATTTCTGATTTAATCTCACCTTCTCCTTTTTGCTCTTCTAGCCTTCAACATTTCTTCATAGCAAATGCTGTCTCTTTAGCCTTCTTTACATGATTTCTGTTTCCCTGCCTGGAACCTGTACTGATAAAGATGCAAATGTATACTTTCTTATACTATTTACAAAGCCATTGGAATCCAGCAGAGGGTTGTTGCAGTTTTCACAGAGAAAGGAATATAACTCTGAAATCTGTCTCCCAACCAATGAATTTTAAAACACTACACCACATCAGCACACTTGTAGAACATGCCTATCATGACATTCATTCATCATGGCAACACAAGGGCCACTAGGGAGTGTATGTAGTAGGGAGAGGGGAGAGAAGAAATTTGGAAACTCTTTGAAAAAGCAGTTTCAGTTCTAGGCACTTATTTTAAGGAAGTGATGAGAGATCCACATAAAAATTAATGCAGCTCCTCTTAAGGTCCTTGAGAATGTCTCTTCCAAACCTATGTATCCAACTGCCTACTGTACATCTTATTAAAATGTCCTCACAATTTCAAGGTTAATATGGATATAACCTCAACTCATCAATCACCCACATCCTATCAAAGACAAATTTAATTCCACTCCTTCAGGGTTTTCTATTTCAGAAAATAAGATCAATATCCACCCATTTTCCTAAAGAAGAAGCACTCTGCCTCTCCTTCAGCTTCCTTATCTGCTCTGTGACTGTAGTTCCGCCTTTGACCTCAACCTTCACACACACACACACACACACACACACACACACACACACACACACACCATTCTTCATTTCTGCAAACACAACCTATGGATGATACATATCCTGATTCACATAGTAAGTGCCCTACCAGCTTCTGGTCTATCAAATTCTTCATAGAAATTTGTGGAAAATTGTAATTTTATCACTTCCAAATCTGCTCAAAAGTTTTACATGTTTTCTCAATGTCTGGGGTAGTGCTGTCCAATAGAACCTTCTAGAATAATAGAAATGTGCTCTCTGCACTAACCAGTACAGTAGCGACTAGCCATATGCACCCACTGAGCACTTGAAATGTGGCTTGGGTACCCAAGGAACTGAATTTTTACTTGGTTATAATTAGTTAAATTTAAGTGGCTGTATTTGGTCAGCAGCTACCATATTAGATGACACAGGTCTAAAAAATCTAAACCACTCAACATTGTATGCTGAGCAGTCCTCTGCCACCCTGCCCAGCCTCATTCTCTTCTCCTTTTTGCACCCAATTTTACAGGCATATTAAAGTTTTGGTCTCCTTTGGTCTCCCAAACATACTTTCTTTCGTGTACTTTTTATGAATTTATACTAGAGTAAGAGGAAATTCTCCTAAATACAGAGAGAGGCTCTAAAATGACTTTAAAAATTACAACATTTGGTAAGCAGAACTTTTCAAGAAAGAACTAAAGAACTACAAATGAATGCTAGAATCTGTTGAAAACTTGCTTTCTCTCAGTGCCTTGTAAAGAACACTCAGCAGATGCTTATTGATGAACTCATTGATTGAAGCTAAGTCTCTCTAACTTTTCTGAGCTTTGTTGGAGAGATTGGCGGTAAGTAGTTGGAGAGGGACAGGAGACAGCCAGTTAGCATTCTACATCTTCTACATTATCCTTGAAAATTCACTTATAGCCATTAGGTGCAGAAGGTTTCCTAGGATGTGCATTTTATTGTGTTCAACAGGACAACTGTTAAAACCTAGTCCAGCTGTGACACAAGAGAATATCTAACAAGCCTCATGTGCCAAATAAATGGACTACATAAGAAACAGGCATTAAGATGGCTTTTCTTATCATATATTAGTAGATTTTTTTAAAGAGTACTGTGATTAAAGCATTGGTTTCCTGTAACATAAAATAAGAAGAAAATTTCACAGACTATGTGTCAGTATTAAATGAAAATATGTGGAGAATTGAATAAGTATGATCTACCTGGGGAATTTGCATAAAATATCCTTATTGTCTTTTCAAAATGACCAAATTGGGAGGAACATGAGAAAAGGCAAGGGAAAAAATAAAATAAAATAATGCAGGGATAGTTTAAGTAATGTTAATACATTTAATTGAATAGATAAAGAAAAATATTTAAAGGTTGGTTATGTAACGTTAGTTTGCTGTATTATTTGAGAAAACCTGTTCTGCTAGAGAGCACAAAACAGGATGGATGAATCCCATAGGATGTGTTAAGTACAGATAACAGAGTGCAGAGTAAGCAAGTAGCTTGTGGGACACAGGCAGAATTTATAAGATATGCTAAGTATAGATACTAAGTAACTCTGTAACCTGAAAGCTATAAAGCTAGACAGACTCAATGAAATATATGATGGAACAAACAAGAGTGTGATTTATAGATGGAAGGGGATAGAAAGACCAAATCACGATCATTCTACCTCTGGCCTGACAACCCTGTCACCATTATATCAGGCATCCATGGTCATATTCTGGACTCAAATACGGTCTGCCTAAGAATTGCTGATAGTATTTATAGCTGTCGGCAGGAATTGGCAAGCTACAGCAATGACCAGGCATATTTGCCACTGCTTCTCTTTAACAGAGCAACTATGTATCATTGGCCCCCAGGTACCTTCTGTCTGTTGACCTTGCTCAATGTCAGTCTGTACCCCAGTTATTAATGGCGAAGGCTGATGTAGCAGAGAATGAGAAGGAAGGAGAGAGAGAGAAAACATGAAGATTGCATAATTTGGGATTTGTGTAGTATGGTGTTTCCTGTTAGCACCCTATCCTACGTGTGTAATGTATCCTTTTTCCTCTTGCTTTAAAGGGATATGTGATTTAAGAATCTCCTTTTGATCTATGAGCCTGTCTGTCCCATGACTTCTGGGATAGCTTGCCTTGTAGTGTACTTGGAGGCCACCATTGCACCAAGGTAATAACCCATGACAACTTCTTCTAGAGAAACTTAAAAAAATAAGAAACATAAAAAAATAAGAACACAGGACTGTAAGCTGAAGTAATATGAGGAGGGTAAAGAAAGGTTGTCACAAATTTGTAAGTTTTTCTTTAATGTTTATTATATTTTAAAGCATTTAAACTATCAAGAAGAGAGAAGAGTA